ATACATACAGTTACTATCGTTTCATCCAAAATCACTTTGACCTACACACACCCTCTAGACAACCACACCATCGTTTTCAATTCATTAATTCCAAATACACTTCACCATATTTCCTAAATTTCACATATTGTATTAAAGACACTAACCTCCATGGTATTCTTCGTAATTATGACCCCATAACCCAAATGTACATTTTCTGTCCCATCACCAAGACCTTCAACGCCGAAGAATCCCGACCCCTCCTTATCCCGCACGAGTTTGTACAGCCTATAGAAATCCCCATTTTAGAATTCATCCACAACACTAAATTTAACCACAAATTATATAACTTAATCCAAAACACACCTTATGAGTTTGCAGTAGGCACTGAAGAACTAACCACTATTAAGGCACTTCAATTGCTTTGGCCACTGCTTCAAACTAAAAATATCATCCGCATCTTAGCTAAACTACTAACAACTTCAGAACTAATTCACGACATCTTCCCCCACGGTTTTTTCCCCGACGACTAACAGGTAAGTATGAATTAAATGATATCACTAACTAATTAAAATATTAAAAACTCACCATTCTTTATTCATGTTTTCTTTAGATTTTTAGCCTTCATCCTAGACCATCTGAAAAATTCACAAAAGAAAAATAAAAAATAGCAAACTTCTTCAAAACTGTTTAAGACCCTATTAAACTTTTGCACCAACAATTAAATAAATATAATGCCAATGCAGTAAATTAATTCATAAATTTTCCCACAACAGCAGTAAATCTAATTACGATGAAAATTTGTATCTTAAAATTCCCCCATAACTAGCAGTAAATTTCCAAATTCTATGCAGTAAATTAAATAAAATGCAATTGCAGTACTAACCTTTTGATATTTTTATTCATTTGCACAGAAATTCTATCCACACTCGCACAGCTCGCCCACGAAGAATTGTTTAAAATAATGAATTTCAGTTTCAAGTTTTCACACTCAATAACTCTAACACACGATAACAAGTTTCAAACTTTCCTTTAACCCGGTTGGAAAGGAATCATATACTAAACAAAACTAACCAACGCAGCTTACTAAATACCACAAATCATAGAATAACAGCATGACTAAGAAAAGGAAACCAACGGTACCCAAACCGGATTAACCCAGTTTAAAACTGGATAATTTATTCTTTTGAAGACTATTATAAAGTCTTAGAAAGAAATAATAAAACACAAAAAAGTCGAAAGACAAACCCATACCACAAACAATTTGCTTTTTGGAAAAAGTACATAACCAACAAGACATAAGTAAAACCACAACAAACCCAACATAAAACGTTGTCACATAACAGGACCCCTCACAAACACCGCATGAAATCATACTCCCACTCCTGGCCTAACCCACCAGGAAAGGACGTCCTGAGCATGCTCTATAGCCGGCCTAACCCACCGCGCTACATCCACGCTTTGTGACCACACCTTTATTTTTAATAAGAGCTACTCAAGGGTGAGTAACTCTTCAAAATAACCGAACTAAAACAAAAAGCTTTTGTGAAAACAACTAACTAAAATCATGATTAAAAAATATTAAACTAATAAAAGTTTTATAAAATGTAAAATCACATGATGCAATATATAGATCAGAATACAACACCAAGGACGAACATCAAAAGACAAGACGACCTCACTACACTCGAGAGAGAATGACCAACTACAATCGATATGCCGCTCACAATCACAACTCAAAGGATTTAGAGTACGACTTGACTTCGCAGAAAAGGACTTCATTGAACTAGACCAATGACCACCTCGATGTTCAAGTATACGTACAGATCCGAGTAACCAGGCATCCCCTCCACGCACAATCTCCACGCCATTCCCAAGCTAGATCAGACACAAAAGAAGTTCTCCCCGAAGAACAGAAAAACCTGACATAGCCAACCATTCTGAAATCAGAATTGATTTTGTTGCAGAGACTCAGTCGTTGTCACAAGAAGAAGCGGAAGAAAATTATGATGTTCGCCAAATACCAACGTCCATCATCCACCCTTGAATTACAGAAGAACTGTTCTAAAAAACTCTGTAAAACCCGGATGGGTGGAACCTGATCTAAACTATATTTTATGATTGGATAAATTAAATGTTTTACCAATGTAAAGTATTTAATATTAACCAATCATGATCCATCTAACTAACAACCCACTTATTTGTAAGTGCTGAAGTTACTTGTAATTTCAGCACCAGAGAGATTTGAATTTAACTTAGAAATTAGTTGGACTCTCCCGAGCACTTCAGCAGCCGCAATAAACCAGTATACCCTAGATCTATTGAGCCTAGCAGAGACTAGTTAAACAACCTGAGACTAGATAGTATAAGAGTAAGATTAGGATCGGTATTAGACTAAGAAGTTGCACGAATCTATCCGGCCGAAAATAAGATAGCGTGACGAGCAGACGGTGTACCCTATCCGAAATTACTCTATGAGTTACACTCCAGTCCTAACTCAAAACTGCATGTTCACCAGTCCACTATCCATCAAATACTGGGAAATAATGAACTAGCAAATAAACGCTTTTTTGTTTCTAGTATGAGATTTAAACTTTGTTTTCTTGATTATTTACTTCTCAACTTTCAACTTCTAGTTTTTAATTGTTGAAATCTTCCAGTATGTCGCAGTTTCAGTTATTTAAATCAGTCAAAGACAGATAAAACGTTCCCAAAGTAAATAAATAAAATTTCTACACGCATAAAGACGATGATAGTTAACAATCCCGTAGTAGGATATAATTAAAACAATCAAAAAACTCTGGTTCTCAAAACATGAGTATTTATATCTGGTTTGCAGATTAATTTTTTCGGCAAAAACTAGCTTTTTTGGAAAAAACTAACTTTAACTACAAGATACAAGATTTTTTTAAATTGAATTACAAGTTTCTGCACATATAAAGTTGTATTGAATATCATATAATTTTTTGTATTTCTGTATAATTCGCGCATTTTTTTTTTAAAAAAATTTACAATTCGTTTTTTGATCTACGCAATGGCAGACACTTTTGGTTAAACATAAATAGTTTATTATAAGAACTGATAATTTTATTCAAGCTACTGCTCAAGAGGCAATTTAAGTTGAAAAACCCAAAGCGCAAAATTAGTGCTCAAAAATTAAATTATGTACATGTTTAAGCATTTATCAGGCAAATATTTTCTTTTTCCTAATTCCGATTTAAAAAAGCTAGAAACTTCTTGACCAGCAACCTAATGCTTTTGCTTTTTTTTTGTTTGCAAGCTGTGTGAGATGTTCCGATGTCCCACTTTTGCTGTTTCAATAATTTAAATTCAGAAAAACATCATTTAAAAATTGTTCTAGACGCATTAGGGCAATGGAACTTACAAATGCAGTCGCGAGCTAAAACGAGGAAAGCAAAAAGTTCTGGTTTCCAAAACTTCTTAAGCTTGTTAATGTTTGATTAGCAGAATCGTTTTTTTTTCGGCAAAAGTTAGCTCGAATCTATAAAAAAACTGGTAAAATATTTCAACAATTATAATTTTTTCAAATGAATTACGAGCACATGAAGGAATGGAATTTTTTGGATTTTCTATCAAGTTTCAGTACTTATCGAGTTGTCATGAACCACATCAAAAAGTATTAGTACTTAAGCTATTGCTGTAGAGATGTTTAAAACGTAAAAGACCTGCGCGCAGTACGCACATTCACTTATCAAAAGTAATTTTAGGAGCTGATTTAAGGTTTTTCAACCAATCTGTTTTTAAAACTAAATCCGATTCATCAAGTTTTTTTGTCATTACTTCGAGAATTAAAAAACTATCATCACTTTTACACGCATGAAGACAAAGTAAATTACGAATGCTGCCCTGGCCTAAAAGAAAATAAGCAAAAAACCTGGTTAGGAAATTTTGCTCAATTTATACTTGGTTTGCACTTTCCTTTTTTTAAAATTAACATGACTCAATGAAAAATTGGTAACAATTTCCAACCACTGCTTTTTTGTAAAAAAAAAACTTTGTAGCCGTTTATTGGGTGAAATTCAATTCATCAAAACACTTATCAATTCTTCGTTTCCAATTCACCAGTTCAGTTTTTGCCACTTGACCTAACTGTTTTCTTTCATACGAGAAACCTTTGGTTATTGTTCGTTTGGACCCATCACAAAAAATTGCAGCGAAACTCGAGCTTTAATCTTTGAAAACAAAACTAGTCTTGCAGTTTTCAATATGGTTTCAATTGGTTAAACTTAGGTAGTTAACTACAAAACATAGTTAATGTTACTTAAGCCAGTGATGAAAAGGTAATTAAAGCGGTGAATAGCAGTGCCCAAAACAAGTGCTCAAAGGTTAATTTAGGCCCGGATTGAGGTTTTATCTGCCAGCCATCTTTTTTTCCCTATTTTTGATCGATCAAATACCGGGAAATAAACAAATAACGAATTAGAATTTTTTATTTTTAGTTCGAGGGTTAAGTTTGTTTTCTAGTTAATCTACCTCTCATCTTTGAACCTCTGTAACTTGTTTGAGATCTAGTATCTCGCTGTTTCAATTTTTTGAATCCAGTAGAATACAGATAAAAAATGCTTAATTAATTAATCAACAACTTGTTTTTCTACACGCCTTAAGATGATGGAATTAACTGAAACGAAACGAGCAAAAACACTCTGGTTCTCAAAACTTACTTATTACTTATTTGTATTTGATTTGAAGATTCAGTTTTTCGGCAAAAACTAGCTTGAATCTATCAAAAAACAGGTAACAGTTTTCGGTCATTACATTTTTTTTAAAATTTGAGTTACAAATTTTGCACCGACGTATGGAACTGTATGGTTTTGTATAGTTCGCATTTTTTCCAAAAATAACATTTTTGCGTTAAGCTAATTTTGATTTTTGCTTTTCCTTTCATCCATTGCTTATTATAAAAAATTTCGAATCATGCCTGAAAAAAAGAACAATTTAATTCCAAAGATACTTACTTCTTTCATTGTTCTGAAAAGTTTCATTGTTCTGAAAAGACTTACACTTTGTTTCGCATTGAGGTCTGGTGGCTGACACTGGTTTTAGCAGGCATCTCAAATTGAATATGTTTTTGAGATCTTCGTTTCAAATACCTGAAGTTTAATCTGATTGTCTTCTCCGTAAACACAGTTTATCAAAATTATTCAGCGTTGAAACCAACACAAAAAGTAACGCGTACGCGTGCTGTACAACTGCATTTGGTTTGTGTAGTGCTGAATTTAAAACGCAAATACATATACAGCGACAAAGAAAAAAAGCGCCGGCAATCACTTGAATTAGATTATATCGTTTAACTTTAATGTGGCTTATTGGTAATTCATCATCAGGCTCAATCAGTTTTAAAGGTGTCTTCTTTTGCTTGAGAGGATTTTTCACGATCTAGATCTATGTGCACTCGATCTATATTAATTTTTGTTGACCTTTATAACTTGAGTCGAAAAGCGGACTTCCGATTGACCGATCCATACGGTTCATACATAACTCGGCCCTCCTAAAACCTGCGTGATAGAAATGACCCGCTCGAAATCTAGAACGAAAAATTCAATCAATTAATACTTCTGATTTATCAATTTTTCTACTATCCATTTACATTGACGCATACAAGGTCTTCAATAGCACGAAAACCACAATCTAAATAAAGACATTCCAAGAAACGGTATTTGAATAATAAAATGTGACACTCGATGAACAAGAAAAAAAACATTAGTTTGGCATCCAAAAAATTTATTTCATCTTAGACTTGATTTACTGCCATAAAATTTGTTAATCAACTGGAATCTAGAGCGGAATTTTGCCAGGGAAGAAGGGACAGAAGCAGCTTTTCGCAAAAAAATCCTTGTTGATTTGTTTTACGGTCGACCAGTTGACTTTACGAGCTCTCTCAAAAAACTAATTTTTCTGCTCCGAACTTTGAAGAAAAATGATTGAGGAATAAATCCTGAGGAATAAACGCCAATTGATAACTTTTGGGCGCATTTGATTAATAATCGTGAGTTATTGGTCATTTCATGTAAACACATGTTTTGGAAATGAACCCCGGACCTCGAGGTTGAGAGTTACACGTCCTCCGCATCTGAATGGTTGTTAATCTCAAACACTAGCCACTAATAAAGTAAATACAACAGATAATGTTTAATTGCCAATGCTATGTAGCTAAGAAGCCACCAACTGTGCACTATATTTTCGAGTTGCGTATCCAAGCATTACGAAGCCACCAAATGAGCACCTGTATATTCGAGTTGGGTTTCCAAGCATTAAAGAATCTGTTGGAGAAACCAATAATCAACAATTCTCAGAGCATTCCTTTGAAAAAATGTACAGAGAAAAAAATCAAAATAACAACCAAATAAAAATGAATAAAATTCTAAGTATCAACCATAAAACATAAAAACAAAGTTTCAATCATAAAAAATTGAAGAGAACAAAAAAAACAGAAAAAATTGAAAAAATAAGACAAATTTAAAATATAATGTGTTCTCTTTTATTATAATGGAAAAATGAAAAAAAGAGACACGATAACGGACAAAAAACAGACACAAATTTGAAAAAGCCAATTTTAAAACTAATCTATACTTTTCATTAATATATGTTTTCAAAGACGGAGGTGAACAAAATTTTTGCATCACTTGCAATAATAAATAATCAACGATTTTCGAACTGGCAAACAAAAAACAAACAAAAGTCACCACCAATGTCGAAAAACCACAATTGAAAAAGTTTCTAAATTTTGTCTCAGAGGATGTCCAATTTGAGAAAAAAACGTCTAGCTAAACAATCGCCGGTGTAGAATTACTATTCAAAAACATTGAACGAGTAGCAATGAGGCCGACAACTCATGCAGAGCCAAAGCAAGACTGTTGTTGTTAACAACTTTTGACATTTCAAAAATTAACTCTTCATCACTCGCTCTGGAAATACACGAAATAATTTTTTTGCCTTTAAACAACGCAAATTTGAGTCACTAAGCCAATAAGTTATATATTGAAACTATTTGGACCACATAGAGCTTATTTTAAAAAATAAAAAAAAAACAATTGCAAATAAAAACAGATTTAGTAACTTTACAAATTGAGGAGAAAAAAAACAATAAATATTCGGATAAAAATTGTGTCGAAACTTTTTTTGAGCCAAATAATTCCTTTTTGAAAACACAGTCAACAAAAACGCATGTGCATAAAAGAAAAATATTGACTTGTTCTTTGCAAAAGTCTGAGCTTTCAAATTTCTGAAAAGAAAATAGAAGCCCTGAAAACTTTTTGATTAGCTAGATCATATAATGATTCGCACTTTTTGGATTTAAAAAACCAATTTGAGAAAACTGGATCAACAATAGAAATTTCTATCACTGGAAAACCTGAAAATTTTGTTCCACCTTCGAAAATAAGAATTGGTCCCATTTTTCAAAACTTTTTTATTTTTGCTGATCAATATTGGAGTTTTCTTTCCTTTTAACAAAAGTTTTAAGAAGAAATCGAAAGTCAAACCGCAAAAAAGTAAACTTTGAGTCTGAATAAAATTTCATCGAATCTTATTTGAAACAAATGGCAGATTGGAGCCCAAGACCTTTGCCCTCCTATGCGTAGTTGTTACCGTTACACCACGTGTGTCAGAGAACATGAAAACTTTAAGCAAAAACACCTTGAAAAAAACTCTATAAAATGATTTGATAACACTAACTAATTGCAGCCGCAGCTAAAAAGTATTGATGTCCTGAGCTCAATATTCAAAAGGAAATTTATCTGTGACTATTTTTAATAAACATTGCTAGTTTGGTATAATTATCGCGCGATTTGTTTTGTGCTGTTATCACATAAGCAGAGATTTAGAAATTGTTCCAAACCGCCTTAGAAATTGATCCAAATTGAATTGCGACTTCCTATTTGATCTATATAAAACTTTGCAATATAATAACTTTTTCTTTGTTTTTGTTTTTTCAAGTGGATTTTTTTTGCTGAAATTTTTTTTACATCAGCTAACAGGTATTAATGTCTTCAGCTCAATAATCAATAGATAATCTACCTGTGATTTTTTTCATAAAGGTTGCCAATTTGGTATCATTAACGCGCAATTTATTTTGTGGTATTATCACGTAAGCGGAGATCTAATCAGCCTTAGAAATATTTTCAAATTGAATTTTCAAGTTGAATAGTTTCAATTTTCATTTGCATCCTATTTGATCTATTTAATACTTTGCTATATACTAATTTCACCACTTTTGACTTGACAAAATAGTTTGAGGGATAGTTTTTGCAAAAAAAAAACAATTTAAAACAATGATGATTTTTGTCAATTTTTTTCAGAGCGAACACCACTCTATAGGACTTAAAGGGGAATCGCCCTAATACAAGCAGCCTTGTTTGCAAGATAATTTTTAAAGCGTAAAAACTTCATTTGAGATGTTCAAGTTAGAGAAACTCAAATGTTAGCAAAGTTGTGAAAAGGAGAAACAAACGAGTCTTAGTTTTAGTTTTGAACTTCTCGAATTTCTTCGAGATTATTGTAGATCAAAGTGTAGATTTTTCTTGAAGTAATTCGAATAAATGACATCACCAACACCATCAACATCACTGTTACCGTCTACTTACATTAATTACTCGCGCATTACGGGGATATTTGGTGAAAGCAATTTGGTGTTACATTTTCAAATTTTTACACTGAGGCGAAGTTGCACTTCGCATACACAGGCAAAAACATGACCAATAACGTTACTGGGCAAAGACTGAATGAATAAAACTTTGAGTCTTCAAAATTTCCTAAACGACGCACGCCAATTATGACGCATTAGCAGTACCTGTCAAAAAATTGCCAACTAACATGCCTCAAGTTATAGAGCAGTCCATGGAGCAGTAATAACATGAAAAAATTAAATGTTATGAAAAAAAAATGATTTTCTTTCTATTTGAAATTTTTTTGTGAGAATCATCCCCCCCACACGCCAAATAACGTACAAAGTGATACATTTTGGTGCTAGTAACATATCAATTATGGCAAATAAGCTTCCTTCAACCAAATTGAAACAATTTAATCTCGGCTTACGCGTTAATAGCGCGAAATATATCGCGCGTTAATTGTCCCAAATTGGCCAAAATGACACTTTTTAAACTCCCATAATTTTACAAAAAATGATCACAGGTTAAATATCTATTCAAATATAAGTTCAGGACAACAATACTTTTTTTACTTTTTTAATGATACAAAAAATCCCGTCAAAAAAAGCTAGTTAAAAAGTCAAAATTTGTCTGAAGAAAAAACCACCCCGGGCACAAATAATCAGTTACTTTCAATACGAAAGTCGGAGCAATAATAGTCTGTGTTAAAATCCTTAGCATTGGCTGAACTTAGTAGCTGGTTTTTGATCAAAATGAACACTTTCAAACTGAACATATTTTATTACAACAATATTTGCGTCGCAACATATTGCAAAATATGTTGGAAAAAAAGATAGTTCATATTATAACACAAGCCTTGCTTGTGTAAATATATTGTTTCCCGTATAACATTCCGTGTGATGGGTTCAGTTTGTTTTGTATGTTTACTCAGAATCGAATGCTCAATGAAAGATTGTAAATGCTCTTTTTAGTCTAAGGAAATCATTCAAATACAAACATCTGCATTTTTAAACTTCTTTAACCTCTATGATTTACAAAATCAAATGATTATAATCTTTTTGTATATCTTCAAGTTCAGAGTGAGATAAAAACTCAATTATCAAAAATAAGTTCGAAAGTTTTTTTCAGCTATTTTTAAAGAAATGGTATCATAGTAATGCAAATTGGAAATAAATATCAACAAGCGTGTAACGCACCACCCTTGCTTCAAATTTTTGACAAATCATAAAAACAGCCTATTTCGGAACAAAGATAGTTTGAGCTTAGAGGAAGGTATGAACTTGAAGTAAAGGATTGCAACCTTTGAGAGAACTGAAATAGCGCCATAATAGAGCTGGGAATTTCCAATTTTAATATGTTTTAAATCCAATTTTTCTGAAACTTTTTAAAAAAAAAGAAAAATCTCGGACACCAAAGTCAAGGTTTGCAACCTATGAAAAAACCTCGACAGCACCTGACTAACGGTTTGAGAATTTTGAATACAAATATCTGCATTTTTTAACGACTTTAACCTCAATGATTTTACAAAACCAAATGATTATAATATTTTTGTACATCTTCAAGTTCAGAGTGAGATAAAAACTCAATGCTCAGAAAATTTTGCTGAAAATTTTGAAAAAAATTTAAAAACGTCATATCTCGCAAAGAAAAAAGATTTGAGAATTCGCGTTTGGACAGCACCTCAGGCTATACAGTTAAAAGTCTTTAATTTTGAAACTTTTAAAAACTTGAGGCAAGATTTGCGTCCACTGAGAGTACCATGACAGCACCCAGTTACTGGTTTGAGAATTTCAACTTATGACAAGTTTTAATATCTGGATTCTGTGAAAATTTTTGGAATTTTTTTTTTTAAAAACGTGGTATCTTGGTAACTAAATGGATTTGAACAGTCATAGTTGCTCGCAAGATTTGCAATGCCCGAAAGTACCCTGAAAGCATCTCTCATACTACAGAGTTAAGCGTTTCAACTGTTTTCAAGTTTTTATATCCAAAATATTTGAAAGTTAGAGAAAAATGTTTAAAAAACGTCATATTATGGAAACTAAAAAGATTTTAGCAGTCATTTTTTGAGGTAAATTTTCTAACTCCCAAGAGTATCCGACAGCAAACCACCATAGTTTTGCTAATATAAAAATTTGTGATGTTTTTCAAATCTAAAAATTTTTTCAAGAATTCATGAAACAACGTCATATCTCGGAAGCTAACAAGATTTGAGCCGACATAACTGGAGGCAAGATTTCCAATGCCTGAAAGTACCCTTAAGAGTTCCAGTTTTTGTCAAGTTTCAACTAATCAGCTGTTTTAAATTTAGCAATACAAATAAGCATGTTATGAAAATCAGTTTACTAAGCCGATAAAAACGACTAAAAAATGGAAAAAAAAGTTTTAACAAATCGAGCTGGTTAAATTACAACCAATTTCCTTTAACCAATCTGGAACGATCTCTTTGTTCTTTTAAAAAATTTGAAAAATTTTGAAAAACGTCATATTTTTGAAAAAAAAAAAGGATTTGAGAAGCCATATGTTGAGGCAAGTTTAGCAACCCCTGAGAGTACCATGACAGCACCTAACTACAAGTTGAGATTTTCGGGTTATTTGGGATTTTTTCAAATCTAAGTTGTATGAATATATGACGTTTGGAGGCCGAATTGACAACCCCCGAGGAGTCCCTGTCAGCATCCCACTTTTGAGTTGCTTATTTCAAACTTTTGGGAAAATAACACAATCTTAAAAATCGACACAGAGACGAAGCTGAGCTTCGCACCACTTGCGATACAAATATGAATGTTATGAAAATCAGTTTATTAAGCCGATAAAAACTACTAAAAAATGGAAAAAAAAGTTTTAACAAATCGAGCTGGTTAAATTACAACCAATTTCCTTCAACCAATTTGGAACGATCTTGCGCGTTAATAGCGTTATATATATCGCACGTTATTTGTCCCGAATTGGCCAAAATGACAATCTGTAAGCACCCAAAACTTTACGAAAAATGACACGAGTTATTGTTCCGACCTCCATAACGAAAGTAATGGAACATTTGTGCTCGGGGTCGTTTTTTCTTCAGACAAATTTCGACTACTTCACCAGCAATTTTTGTGTTTTTTAATATCATTCAAAAGTGTCGTTGTCCTGAGCTTAAATTTACTAAGATCTTTGTAAATTTAAGCTCAGCACAACGACACCTTTCGAATGATATTTAAAAACTGACAAAAATTATCACTAATTGGCCTAAAACGATAATTTCAAGACCAGCATGAGTTTATCAAAACTGGTTGCAGGTGAGATAATTTCAACTTTAAGCTCAAAGCCTATATATATTTCGTATGACGAAGTTTTATATTCAAACGCCAAATTAGCTGTAGAAAAAAATCAGACATGATAACAAATATTCCGCCGGTTTTTCGAAAATCGTCGCAATAACACAATAGTCTAAAATAATACCCTCAACATCAAATTTTTCCGTGAAAGACTCAACTTGTAACACAAATTGCTACAAAAATACCCGGGACAAGTTTGTTACGAGCATTCTTAACAAGAAAACTCATTAAAACAATTTTTAGTTATTTGCATGCATCATTCAGATCTGTTTATGACATGTTGACAAATTTGTTTCATTTTGCCTCAAAAATCTTACCTGACAAAAACTCTCACGGGGTCCTCGAATTTCACTTCTTTCTTCACACACCTTTCTGCAACTATTGGAAGACCTGTTTCTTCATCTTCTTCTAAGGCCATTTATACCATGTAGTTTCACTAGTTCCGGCCTCTTGTCGCTTTTTGTCTTTAACAGCTGTTTGATTAAATATTCAAAACATCGAAAACACAAGTTTGGAGGTTTGTTTTCCGCCTTCAAAATTTACAACCATCACTAATTAACCATGCACATGCTGAACAGTCCCACGCTTAAATCTATCCGCGGAATTGATAAAGGAAAAGAATTTGTCTGCAAATTTTAATGATATATTGAAAATTAGACTGGAACATTTCTAATCTCATAGTTACGTAATTGTTTTCAGTAATCTAATACCAATAATAGGCTTCTATATAACAAAACAAATCTTTTAAGCTTCTCTCCTTTTATTAGTTTTCAACAATGAGTCACATTCAGTTCACATTTTTCTGAGCATTCGAAGTCGGAAGGTTTCACCAGTGTTGCCAAATAACATCGGAACGACTATGTAGCATGTTCACTTATTTGATTTTTCAGAAGAGGTTTCGCTATCAGAACCACAAGAAAGCAGTTTATGTGCGGTCGAAATCTGAGCCAAAATATTGCATCAGAACATATAGTTCTTTTTGTGATTGGAAATTGGGCTCGGAAATCATTTAATTTGGAAAAGGCGTCACGAGGTGCGACATCCGACAGCAGCAGATCCCTCCCGTTGGCCGGTTCCCTGATCTTCTTCTTCGTCTTCCTCATCTTCATCCTCGTCCTCTGAATCATCTAGTCGCATTCTACGACGCTAAAACAACACTTGATAAAAACATAGCCAACTGATAGTTGGAAAAAAACTGACCGCAAGTAAACAGTAAAAAAACATTGACTTTGTTGAAAAAATCTCAACTTTCGAACTTCAAAGAAAAAAATAGATGCTAAGCTCTTTGAATTTCTAGAACATTTATGATTGGAGCTTTTTTGTTACCATTAACCCAACTTGAAAAAACTGGACCAATATTCCGCTTGAAATCTAGTTTTTATTCCGCTGGAAATCTAAAAATTAAACTCCCCTTTCAAAAATAGAAATTATTCACAATTTTTTACGCCATTTCCACGTTCGTATTTGGAGAGTGCTATTTACGTAAGTTTCAGTAAATGATTTTGAATTGAGTTCGAAAAATGCATTTAAACCTAACTGCATTCATAGATGCATTAATACGTATGCAAGCACATCTGTAGTTACTAGTGTGCCATTCTGCCAGATGACACAGCATAACCTTCCCGCGACAGAAAAAAAAAGTGACTAAAGGCCTTATGAACAAAAAAGTGTTGCGACGGAGGGTCAGAATGTTCTAGAATTTTTATTTTTAAAATTTCGATTGGAAGAAGAACATTTCTGAGAAATAGAAAAAAGACGGCCATTTTGAATAAAAAAAGACGAAAATCAGAACCACGATAGAGATTGTGAAGAACAGTTGTATCAGAGACAGAAAAACACGGAGCCTCTTATCGTGGCAAGAACACACGATAAGGACCTTAGCGACAATTTGTGGAGACGGAGGCTTCAGTGGGGGGAAGAGAAATACCACGGAACCCTCCCGGGACACGAAATATAGGAGATAAGAGTGTTATCTCAAGAAAATCACGGGAGCGGAGGCTTGGTCCCCCAGAGACTGTTATATGTGAAGGGACTGGGTAAACTAACTATAACAGCTGCTGTAATGTCCTAGATCTTAATTAAACACCGATATTATTTGATATTTCAGGACATGAGTAGATAGAAAAAGGAAAGGATCAATCCATCTCCAATGGATTTAATATAAAACTGTCACACAAAAACATATAGAAATAGGTGGTTCGAGCCGTGTTTTTAATGACAATCACGTAGTCTGAGGATCCGAGACTCAGCTATGTGGTTGTGTTCGCATGCAAACGAAAGCTGATCAAAAGTCGTTTGACTGATGGCCTAAAAATGGTAACTTTTTACTTTGCCCTAGACAGACCAGAAAATCAACTGGCAAGGTCGAGACGGTGAAAAACGAGTAGAATTAAGGTAACTGACGCCTGCCAGTCGTTAATAGGTACTTTTTCTACGCTCCGTCGCTGTGTGATATTTGGGCGAATGTTACATAGAGCATTTAAAGGCTTTCCTGAAAGAAAAAAACAATCACCAAGACCTATATAAGAGTCTTCACTACGTTCATTACTTTTAAGAAGCCAGCATCATTTTCAAAAGAGGAAGAGAAATATGAAGAATACAAATAAAGAAGCTTCTCTGGTACACAAAAAGTAACGATTAATGTCTGGTACTATAATTTAAGAGATCACACAAAATTTTCAATGTCAAGAAAAACCGACCGGAAGATAACCAAAAAGACGAAAAACTGTGGCTCAGTTTAAATTCTTTCAACCGGCTAGAGTCAATTTTGCTGTTGAAAGCATCAGAGTTTTAAATCAACAAAAAATTAGATATCTTGAGACAGAAAAACGAGCATCCAAAATTGAAACAACGAATTTTTTTAAATAGAAAAATTATTTAGCACATCAATCTCTTTCCCATTATAGCCTACCCAGTCTAGTAATAAAAATTATAGCTCCACCACACCTTAGCGGCTTTTTTGAGCAATAACTTGATGTGATGCTATAATGTGGAAGATCGCAATTTGTCTAATACGCAGATAAAAATTCAAACAAGCAAAAGAACCATTCGATAAAAGGCGAGAAACTGGTGTCATAGAGATATTAAGTTCTACAAGATTTTAGGACCCATGCGCAGTGCATCACATAATCGCATGGGAAATTATTTGCCCTGAAAATGATGCAATATAAATTGACTAAATCGATATAACATAAACCGAAACTGTGTAATCGAAAAAAAGCGGAAAAAATTCCAAATCAGACTTATTAAATTTACAAATTAACCAAACTTTCAATTATAGAAGAAAAATGTTTTGAATTAAAACAAAATCTAAAATCCATTAAAGTTCATTAAAATCTAAAATTCATTAAAATCCGTTAAAGAAAAACATGAATCTTAGAAAACGGAAAAACCGATACAAACTAGGACGAAAACCACGAATCCGGAAATAGAAATTATTTTGCAAAAACAATTGGTACCCGAAACGAACTTCACCTTATTACAAATGATGGTATTTATAATTGAATTTACATGAGCTAATAAAAGCTTCGTGGATCGATATTGAGCTGAATAAAGTTATCTGGAATTTTTTTGTTAAACTAGCTTCAAGAAACAATTGTGTTTATTCCTCTCAAACGCGCAGGTGACCACAATGCGCGCAAAAATAAATCCAAACTAAATTTTGAGTAATTTGCCATAATAGATACACTCAGGGGCGGATCTAGGTACTTCTCGAGGGGCGGGAGGATTTTCAAAAAAATTCGAAAATTTTGTCGACCTTTTTTATGTCGAAAAAATTAATTTTTTGAGCTCTCCCAAATCACTAGAATAAAAAAAAACCAAAATTCAAACCGCTAAAAAGTAAATTGGAGCCTGACCAAATTTTAGGACTTTTCCTGAAAAAAAAAGAGAAATCATCGCGACCTATAACAAGGTCTGAACTACTTTCATCGATTCTTAAAAGAAGTAAATCTGTTAAGAGGTAAAAATCTGTTCAAAATAGCAACCAAGACTAAGTTTATCAATTTTAGAGGCAAAAGCGAAAAATTCGCCAAAAGCACCAGAACACAGGAAGGGGCTTTCACTTTTTTTTCGAAATTACATCGTTAACTTCAGTAGTAGGAATACAAATGCAAACAAGGATATCCGAATTTGTCGAAGTACAAATTGGTTTTCTATATAAGTTAAGGGCCGTATTCGCTTTTGTCCGGAAGAAACCCACAGCTTGTTTTCACAATTGAACCTTCAACCTGAGATTAAAACGGTAGTTCTTAAGAAAATTGTAGCTTCAACAAAATGTCATACATGTCAAAAATTGTTTTATGACAATTCTGACATTGAAAACATTTCCAAAAAATGACATTTTTTGAAATGTCAAAAAAGTGAAGTTTGTCAAAATGTCAGAAACTCCTCTTTTTGAGTCCAAATTTTTCACTCTAGAAAAATTAGGACGTATCCGTTTGCATGAAGAGAATTCTCATAACCTTTTTCTCGATTGAATCTTAAATCTCATGTTCAGGAGGGTAGTTTTTGAGAAACTAAGGAGCGTGGCATTTTTAAATCTTAAATCCCAGATTCAGGAGGGTGGTTCTAGAGAAAGTCAGGAGGGTGGCAATTTTGATGGCCTTCAGTTTTCTTTTAAAAATATTGAGCATAACCACTTATGCAAGGGAGCTTCCTAAAACCCTTCCGTTCCATTGAACCAGTAAATTCCGGTTTTGGAGGGTTGTTTATGAGAAAACTTTCAACAAACAGAAAAAAAAATCAAAAATTTGAGTTCTCTGAGGGCCATAACCTTTTGTTAAAAGAAAAAATAGGCGAATCGCTGATATAGAGAAGCTTCCCTTTCGATTGATTTAACCCATTCTATTGATTTAACTCAGCCCATTCTATTGATTTAACTCAAAATCTTAGATTTGGTAGGATAGTTTTCGATAAAATGAAAAAATCGGTCATATATTCCCCCCTAAGACTTTTTCGAAGACTGTAGAAAGTGGGGTAAGGCAAGTTCGGTTAATTCCCTTTCGTTGTAGTTCGGTTAATTCCAGGTAAAAAAGGAAAAATTTCCGAAAAAGTCGAACAGTGTCCGGTAAAGCCCAACAGTGTCCGGTAAAGTCGAACAATGTCCGGTATAGTCGAACAAAGTAGAACAATGTCCGATGAGGTTGAAAAAAGTAGAAAACGGACGTCGTTCGACTCAAGAAGTTGAAACCGGATATCGTTCGACTGAAAAATTGAAAACGGACACCGTTCGACCATTTCGGTCGAATCATGAGTCGAGAACCTCAGCCCGGCACCCCCTCTCTCCTGAAAGAAACTCATAGAAAATTGGCTGACTGACACTAAAAACTTCTAGAGGCACTTTTAGCGCCAATATATAATTTTAAAGGGGGAACTCACCCCGAAAAAAACGCAAATTTTTGTTCGAAAAAAAAATCCAAAAGACTGCCTAAAAACACGTGTTGCGGCCTGTTTTTTTTTAAAATTTGCCTGCGGTGCAAAAAAAAAATATGACCAAAAAGGGGCTTTCGTAGTGATTGGGGAGAGTTCAGAAAATCAATTTAGTCTATCTAAAAAAAAAGAAATTTCGATTTTTTTGAAAATTCGACCTGAAAACTTAAAAGAAAAACATATGAATCTTAGAAAACGGAAAAACCGACACAAACTAGGACGAAAACCACGAATCCGGAAATGAAAATTATTTTGAAAAAATAATTGGTACCCGAAACGAACTTCAGCTAATTACAAATGATGGTAGTTATAATTGAATTTACATGAGCTAATAACATGTAAATTCAACTTACCGAAAATTCGACTTTACCGAAAATTCTGGATCCGCCCCTGTATGTAAGAAGTGAATTCGAAGTTTCAGACAGCTTATTTTTTTTATCCTTCCAAAAATTTTTCCACCTCAATTGCGGTTATTGACTTGTTTATAAAATCACATGGAAAGTGTTTGTTCAAAACTTTAACCAGGATTTTTATCAGCTCGTAAATTTTTCAAAGTGTATAAATTGTGTGTTTTTCAGATCCGTCCGGTTCAATGAAAACACTAACCTTAGTATTCAATTTTGAGAACAGTCACTTTTTTGAATCCGTTTTTTTTTTGCTTGACATTATACGAACATACAATAATGGATAACAACTGATCCAATAAAGGACTTTTCAATATGGTTCATCAACGTGGTGTTCTATTACAGGCAATACAAAGACAACGCCACATTCTCCTGACGAAGGGTTGTTAGGTGCACTTGCGGTGGGGAGGGAGGGTTTTTAGTACAAAAAAAAGTAGGACCGACCTCTGAGCTCGATAGTGACTGCATGAGAAGCATTAGCATTCTGGCGTCGAACACTCCCTCCCTATTTGGGTCACTCTCTCTCATCTTCTTGTTCTGTGCCATCGTCTAAACATATGCTTGCATCACAACATCACTACACACTGCAAAAATCATCGCCTCGACGGGACATAGCTTTGGACACTATGCTTGGTCGGATCAATTGATATCACGTGTAATTAGCTAAGAGTATGCTCCTTATATCAATTATCTTCAGGATATCTTTAATTTATGGGGAGTTTAGTAGACACAATCCACTTTAAACTGAAATGCAGTAGCGGATTTAGGTGAGCGGAGGCAGATGCCCCCCTCAGGGATTCGACCCCCTGACTGCCCAAAGTTTCTCCCTTTGGTACTTCATTAAGATTTCCATTTTTGGCTAGATTTAGGGGATTGTTTCTCTAGGTTCGTTCACTCTCTCTTAACGACACCGCAAAGTGATCTCTTGTCTAGTGAAATCAGCGGGGCGACCGAGATTCACTACTATCTACAATCTCGAAAGGTTTAAGTTAGTGGCAACTATTCTGTATTGTATTATGTTTCTTGCCCCCTTCTGCTGTCGCGTCTGCTCGATACAATCGCAACAATTTCTAATGATAATTTCATTCAGATAAATATATGTCTAATTACAGAAGGCTTTGACTGGCCAGGATATAATCTAATAATCAATTCAAAAGGAAAGGGTCCGCGATTTATCAGCACAATTGTCTAATTACAATTTGAATTCCAAGTGACATCACTAAACGATTCTTTCTCTGTAGAGAATCCTTTCTAATCAACACACAGTAATTCCACACAAATACTCACTTTGTCCTGCTAAAATTATTAGTGTCTATACGGATCACTATTCCTTTGAGGTACTTTAACTGATCTCGTTAGCTTCAAGAATCAAAGTCCTCACTTTGATGAGAAAAAACTATCTTCTGTCTCTGCTTTAATTTTTCTCTGACTCCGAGAACCAACTATTCGACTCACTAGCAAAAATTGTTCTTTTACTCCGAAAACTAACTATTCGACTCACTGGCAACAATTGTTCTCTCTAATTTACTGAGAACCAACTATGCTCTATCTCAGTATCAATTGTTCTAACTCTTAAACGCTCTTCGGTACCCTCCAATTCCTTACCTTTAATTACACTTAGTTTTGATTTACCACGCCATTCGCTATCAGTCCTGGTATCCGCTTCAATCATCCGTCTGCACATGTTTTATGACTACGTCCACCCCCCTGTCAACTCTGCCACTTGTCAAAATTCGTTTCTTTATCAATCTCATTACGCTTAGTACATAACCGGTATGCGGTAGGTGTCATAACTCGACCAAGCAAACAAAAGTCATACGATCCTAATCAACTATTTCTTGACCTCCGTTAACTTCGGCCGTTGAGTTCAACCCAACTTCTAAACCATACTAAGTTTACTCAGTGACCCTCCCAAGGTCTTTGCTGAAGTATACCGTTAACGCTGCGAGATATGCCATTTTATGGGTAGCTAATTCATTCCAGGCATCAGAAATTTCTATCAGTACTCGATTCGAACTCCGACCTTCTAGCTATCAGGGGAATTTGGTTCGTCTATTAGGGTTAAGTAAATTCACAGTCCGTTCATACTATTTAAAAGACTTAATTCTCATGCTGCGGTCCTATTGCTATCAATTTCCTCTGGGACTACTTTTCTTTAGTTTAGTTGAATTGCTATTAATAGATCATTTGCCAAGCTAAGCTGAACCCAATGTCTACCAAGTCCACTGAGGATTAACTCTACTACTCCAAGGTTGCACTACTCTCTGATTCAGGTCCCAAAGTACAAGTTTCGTCCTACTTATTAGTAAGGTGAACAATTCTCATTTCCAAAGGGTTAGGTCTGGGGAATACGCCACTTTCCGGTGTTAATCCTGGGATTTTCTATGCAACTTTGGGAACAAAACGCCCAAAGGTCAACATAAAGTCATTCAGCGGTCACCCGGGCTCAAACTTCCTTAGACAGGTTCAAGGTCTCATGGGGGTCCTAACTACCAAGTTTCATACATATCCAATCAATTTTTCTCATTTATCTCAAGTTATGTCATTTCTAAGGTCCAATATCACTTTTCCTGGAAAATGCTATTAACACCGAAATGAGCCGGGTTTGACTCAGAAGGTTTTTTTTTGGCTGTGGGGACTAGTATCTATTGCCGCTAAAAATCAGCTCATTATTACGCTCATTATTTTGCGTAAATTGCTTTTTTCCGGTCTAAGGGAGAGTTTTTTCAAGGTGTAATAACTTCCAATCCAACCGTTGGTTCAAATTACAACACAAGATGTATCTTGTCACTACTTATCATCCCTCCAAGTTTCAGCTCCCTGTGTTCATTGGGGGCGGAGAAACGATTTCCGGAAGTTAGGGGTGGGTCTGTTTACTTAGGGCATAAAACGGGAAGTGGGTGTTCTGGGGTTCTAAACTTAAGCTTCCCTCAACTATCCCTATAGCATACTAAAATTTGAGCCGAATACTGTCACTAAATGCCGATTTCTGATAGGGCCATTTCCACTTCCGGGGACCGTTATCACTTGCCCCTAATGGGTCTGAGGGGTCCCGTTTTTTGTATGCCCGAGTCAAATCATCTCTAGTACTCCTCTGAGTTTCATAACACTAGCTTCCTTGGTTACCATTTTGTTGTTTTTCTATTTTCTGGCTTAGGAGTGACGAATTCTTCCAAACTTCAACTATTTTGAGCTCAAACCTTTGTTTGCTGTACTACTTAACTTAATGAATAATCAATCTTACGCTCAGGTTACTATTAGCCTTATCATACAGCATGAAAGTCCCAAGGTAATACATTCTACGTTCAGTTCTTATTTTGTCAAAAGTGCATAAGGATCACCGATCCTACAGAATGAAATGAAATTTCACAGGGTTCTGAAAAAAGAATTCTGAAAACATTTAAGCTATTTCAACTGCATAAAAAATCAAGTTAACAAAAATGAATCTAAGATATGATGTGAATGAGAAAAGTAGGTATGAAGTTGAACTTGAGTTGGCTGCTGTTGGTCTTACACTAGCTAGTCCGACTAGACTGGACTGCTGTCTATGTCTGTTAGGTGCCCATATTTTCACACAGTGGTCCAGTCCTGAAGTGGCCATCAGGGGAAGAGTCGGGTGAGGCTCAAGCACATTCACCTAAAAGCAAACAGCATAGCCAACAATTTTCGAACATCTCAATTTTCGAACTGCAGAAAAAAATTAGATGGAATTGAAGCTCTTTGATTTTATGATTGACACCTTTTTGGTAAAACCCAATTTGAGAAAACTGGATCATAAATTACTATAATTTTTTTAGCTTGGAAATATGAAAATTAAACTCCATTTTGGAAACTAGAAGTCGATCACGTTATTAGTGACTTTAAAACATTTGCTGTTCAATAGCAGAGTTTGCCTTCCTTTTAACAAAGGAAAAGAACTGAACTAAAAGAGCCGCGAAAACGTAAATTTGAGCCTGAACAAATTAAAATACTTTTCCTGAAAAATCCTGTAGCGTAACAAACCCAATCATACTGCACAAATTATTGACAAACTAAGCTTCACAAGCTCTTTATGGCGCAGTATTTTCCAGCTAAGCTTAGCAAAAAAAAACAATTGTATGCAGATATAAAACAAGACTGCTCGTATCAGTGCGAAGCCCTGAATGTTCCGACTGCCTATTAAGGTTTATGGAGCAGTAATAACATTAAAAAATTAAAAGTAATAAAACAAAATGATAGTTTTTTTTTCTAAAATTTAAAATTTTTTATCAAAATCATCCCCCCACACGCCATATAAAGTACATAAGGATAGATTTCGCTACTTGTAACAAATCAATTATGGCAAATCAACTTCGCGTATCCAAATTGGAACGATTTCTAAGACGGATTAACTCTCCGCTTACGCGTTAATAGCCCGAAATATATCGCGCGTTAATTGTCCCAAATTGGCCAAAATGGCAATCTTTAAACCCGCGTAACTTTACGAAAAATAATCACAGGTGAAATATCTTTTCAAATTTGAGCTCAGGACAACAATACCTTTTGAATGATATAAAAAATTCCGTCAAAAATGGCTAGTTAAAAAGTCGAAATTTGTCTGAAGAAAAAAAACCCACCCCGAGCACAAATATTCCGTTACTTTCGTATCGAAAGTCGGAACAACAAGGGCACAAAAGCTGTTCAGTGTGGAGAGCCAAGCAGATCGCATATTGGTCATTTGCCTAGTAGATTAACGATCTCAACACACTTAGTAGTAATACTATCGCATCTCAACATCAAGATAATCCAGTTTTTAGTTGGCACACATCAACTTCGGAGATCATAAATCATCAAAAACATTGGTATAGTTTATGAAATAAGTCGTACATACCATGAACTAATCTACACCTCTGGGATTACTCCAATTGTATAACTCGACTTAAGAAAAATCACGAACGGCTGTTCCAATTTTCTAATTTAGCATGAATTATTGATCAAATAATTCTTAAAGCAATGTTGGGTAGCGAGCAGCATACTTTTCGTTTCAATATACATTCTCTTGAGCTCCGCTGTTTGCATATAATGTTCAAATCAAATTATGTCATTCAAATTCTTCCAAAATATGTCATTTGGTATTGTGATCTGACAATCAACCAAAACATCTGAAATGCTAGACAAAGCACCTCTACGCTGCTATAGCTGTGGTTAATTAAAAAATGGGCCACGTTAATGAATAAATGAAGCAATTCTCAAGCTTGACTAGAAAAGATGGTTTCTTTGAAAAGTAGCACAGAACATTCTAAGCGCGATTCTCGAAAACTACGAGGCTTTAAGAGACCACAATTTACACAATACTCGCACATTTTTACACCCGACTCACAAGAATCCTTAGATTAGTATTTAACAAAGTGTGTTCCGAATCTTAACTTGAATTCAGTGGTCGAAATTTCTTCTAATCTGATTAAATAAAAATCAGAAGAAAATATTCACTCGGAACATTTAAGTTTCGGAACAGCCTTAAATTTCTTGGCAAGTTTAGAGCCAACACACCTTTTTCGAAAGTACCCAAACGATTTTGAAATAAGGCTAAAAAAATTGAACTAATTGATTATCAAAACTATGAAGAAAAACGTTTTCGTACTTAATTGAGCGAATAACGATCACCTCCTTCGAATAAACGGCTGATCGTAGCAGTAAGTCAATATGCCAAATCCTGTTTTCTCGAAACTATGAACTATGGAGAAAAACGTTTTCGTACTTAATTGAGCGAATAACGATCACCTCCTTCGAATAAACGGCTGATCGTAGCAGTAAGTCAATATGCCAAATCCTGTTTTCTCGAAATTTGTCTCGAGAAAAAACCACCCCGAGCACCAGTGATGTCCATTTAAAAAAATAAGAATTTAAATTAAAATTTCATACGAAGATAATAAAAAACTGTTGGCATCAAATGAAATTTTTCCGAAACTATTTAAATTTCTTTTAGAAATTTTTTTTCTTCAGTATGTTTTTTAGCCAATTTTAGGGACCCAATCATACTGCACAAACTTTTGATTGTGCAGTATGATTGGGTCTATTGTTTTAACCGCCAAAGCAACCATCTCCTTGCTATGTAAATCACGGACCCCCAACCACCCCGCCCCCCACTATGTAAAGGACAAGGATACTTTTGCATTTAGCAAAGTATTAAATAGACCAAAAAGTATGCCTCCTTCCAATTAAGAACGATTTCTAAGACGGATTAAACCTCCGCTAAAAACCACCAAACATATCGCGCTTTTATTGTCCCAAATTGGCAATCTTTAAACCCCCATAACTTTGTAAGAAAGATCACAGGTAAGTTATCTTTTTAAATTTGAGCTCGGGGCAACAATACCTTTCGAATGATATAGAAAAAATTCCGTCAAAATTTGTTAGTTAAAAAGTTGAATTTTGTCTGGAGAATTACCACCCCGAGCACCAGTGATGTCCATTTAAAAATAACAATAATTTAAATTAAAATTGCTCAAGAAAATTATAAAAACTGTTGGCATCAATTTAAATTTTTCCAAAACTATTGAAATTTTTCGTTGGAAAATAAAATTATCTTCAGCCTGTTTTTTTAGCCAATTTTGGGGACTTTTCGCATTTTAGTGAAAAGAATTGCAAAGCAATTTTTTGGGCATATCTATTTACTACAAAAATTCATCAAATTTGACGAGAAAACTTAGATTTGCTTTTTCCGCGGAACTGAAATTATTTATCATGAGTAACCTCTTTACTTTGGCGTCGGATCGAATACCGCTGGAGCAATTTAATTTTTTTTCAATTCAAATTGCTCGATCTTTCATTATAATTGAGTAGGCTCATAAATTCACATTTAAACAAATTGAAATTTAAATGAAAATTTAAATTGATTAAAATTGTTTTTTTTTAATGGACGTCACTGCCGAGCACAAATACAAATATTCCGTCCTTTTCTTCGAAAATAGTCGGAGAACAAAAAGCTCATCACAAAAAAAGAGAAAAAATTTGAGAATCTCAGCCTGTATTACACTTACCACGCCAGCTTGGTCTGCTTGTATCCACTGTACAATGTTGGTGGTGTGTTTGTCCCATACATAAACGTGTCCGTCGTCACTCCCACTCACTACGTACTCACTATCAGGCCCATAGAAGTTCACGCCCTTCACTGAAACAAACAAAGCAAAACTCCAACCAGGTTAACCACTGTGTGCTTACAGAGCTACTCAGAACATATAATATATGCGAGCTGGGTTAGAGAATTGGGGATTGTAAAAATAGAAAAAGGCGCTCCTCCCACCTCTACTAACCGACACGCTACTCGCATTCGGAGAGAGAGTTTAATCCTGCATGATTTAGTATCAGACCCCAAAAGTCTAAGAAAAATACAAGGGGAGAGGGGCTGTCTCATGGCCAGTTTAAAATGTTTAAATATATTTTGTACAAAATGAGCGCCAGCAAAAAAAAACTCACAACAGTTGATCGTGACACATGAGGGAAACATTTTACTGTGGAGCATTTATTGTGTATTCCCATAGCGAATACCACCTCAGTCGAAATATCAACGGCCTATATCATCTTAATCGATCAGAAGAAAGAACTTTTTGCGTCATTTGGTTTTGTAGATTATCTCTTGCTTTAACCATTAAATAAGCGTATAAGAATACGTTCAGAAGAATATCAAACTGCAAATTGCGAACCTGTTTGACTATTTCTATGTCCGAAGAATTTTTTTGGTTCGTCAACAGTAGTTTCCAATCTGCCTTTTTTCCTGTCGCCATCTTCATTCCCTTGCCCCTCCTCGCTTTTCTCCTGTGTCAGTTGCGAACTTCTGGGCGTTAATTCATCTAAGCTTTCATCACAGCACACAATCTGATGTTTATCAGCATCAAACACATAAATATCCTCATCGCTATACGAGGCTACAATTTCTGTGCCGCTGTTACTATACACCGCACACGTCGCGCTCATTCGGAAATCGTCGTCTGAAATATGCTTCGGCCTGTATTTGCACAAGGGTCCCCCATGTAGATTTCTTCTGTCGTATATTAGCACGTTGGGGCTCCGGCCGCAAACTAGGAATTTGTTTTCGTCTGCAGGACAGCAGTCTATTGCGTACAGTTCTATAGGTCTGTCTTTTTCGTCATTTACTGTAAGAACGGGGAGGGGCTTTTTGGAGTAGGTGACTCGGACGTCCAGGCTGAACACGTAGCCGTCTTCGCCACAAGTTAGAAGCTGGCAAGGGTGCTGACGCATTACACTCAACTAAAACAGGGAATAGAGCAATGGCGGATATAGGGGAAGGGCTGAACGCGTGCCATCTTTCAGGAATTGAGCCTCTTGGCTTGAAAAGTACTATATCTGATTGTACTATTTTGCGATCGAACAACACTAAATTTTTGGGAAAACTCGTCTTATACTTATTTTGGGGGAGCAGATGTGCCGTAAAAATGCAATTCTTGTAACCTCTACACAACGGCGAAGCTGCAACTTCGCAAATACAAGCAAAAAACAACAAAAAGTGGCTCTTAAACTGTCAAAAAATATATAAAAAAAATAAAAACTAATAAAATCTGCTATGAGCCGGATTCAAACTCCTGACCTAGATATTGAGAATGACACATCCAATCATCTGTGCCATGCTCTCCTAACAATATTTAAACACTAGCCACCAACAGACCTCACAAGCACCAATGCATGGTCTTTTGTGCTCAATAAACATAACCAACAGACAGTTGGAAACGAGTCAATGAACGCAAGAAAACAGAACACGCAAAGGACTTTTTTGAAAAAAAAAACTTCAACTGTCGCATTTAAAAGAAAACAAATGTGGCCTTAGAGCTCTTTGAGTTTCAAGAACAATTTATGATTGCCATTTTTTCGATAAAATTCACCAAACTTGAGAAAACTGGATGAATAGGTAAAACTTTAATTTCGCTGGGAAATCTGATTATTAAAAACCATTTTCTAAATTACAAGTCGATCAAGTGGAGTCTGCCTTTCTTGTAACAAAGGAAACGAACATTAACGAAGTTAATGAGAAATCAAAACTCAAACCACAAGAAAGTAATTTTGAGCCCGAACAAATTTAGAGCCTAAACTAAAGTAAGCTAGATAAAAATTGCTGCAGCAAAATTGCCACCAAAGAAATGAGCACTTTTATTTTCGACTTGGGTTCGGAAAAAATTGAATATTGCTATATGACAGTAGGCTTCGCTTGTGTAAAAAAGCGCATTTAGAAATTTTTTTGCATAAACAAACATGCTGCGAATATCGACGAAAACTACGGTGTGAAAATGTCTTAAAGCTGGCCACACAAAATCAACAAAAGTTCAAGAAATTGAAACCACCGCAATTTTGTGAAGTAAATTGCTCATTCAGACAAAAAGTTGATTCAATTCGTCAAGACTCTATCAAAACAACCACTGGATCAATGTGATTCTCCAAAAGCTTGAAGAAAAATTTCGATATTTCGAGTTAATCATTGATGGAAACTCACCTGGATTTGGATTTTTCAGGAAAGTTTTCAGCAAAAACCTACCCCTTACAAAGAAATGTCGCCTGTATAACTTAAATTAACCTACCTTCCCCCCGCTAAAGCGGAGTATGGAAAACATCCAACCTCGTTTGCAATATTTTCTTTTGTATGGTATAAATATTTAAAGGCAATCAAAGATTCTTCAAGGAAAATTTAGTCTGAATGATTTTAAAGGCGTTACACAGAGGCGAAGCTGCGCTTCGAAAACGACAAAAAAGCATCTCAATGGAATGAAATAAGAAACAAGGTAACAAAACGCCAAGATAAAGATAACTTTTGCTGTGGCGGATTCGATTCTACGACCAAGAGATTCAGAATCCCCTGTACTCGCATCTGCGCCACGAGAATTTCTGAAATCAAGTTTATATTATTGTACGTGTCTTTGAAAAATAAGCTTTTTTCGGTTCATTCAACGAATGAGAAATGCATCAACTGTGTAAAATTGTTAGTAATCGAACTTCAAGGCACATGCTATAAAAAATTGGCACCAAGATTTGCGACTTAGGTTGAAAAAAAAGAGATATTACACTTGCTCCCTAAAGCTCACAGGTGAAATAAGTCAATTGAACGGGTATCACTATGCTGCACTGAAATTTTCCCAGAAGTACGACAGTCTTTATTATATATAATTTAAAATTTATATATAATTTAAAAAAGTAGAACTGGTCGACATACAAAAAGCTCAAAAAAATTAGCTCTAATGGCATAAAATCAATCTGAATATTTCCATTTATTTCATTCAGACTAGTTGCAGCATTTTGTAACCCGCATGAACCCTTGTTGTTTACATAGAGACGAAGTAGCACTCCGTAAACAAAATCGAGAAAACGGCAAAACAATATCTCTCAAGGCAAAAACAGTGAAATAAGGAAAGAAAGAAAAATATAAAATAAGCCTTGGAAAATAAAACTTTTGCTGTGCCTCAGTCGAACCTCTGACATGGAGATTAGGCTTAAGTTCTCTAATCTGAGCCACGATAGCTCAAAGAAATAACTACCACTAGCTACCAATAAAACAGCTACAGTGGCTATTAAATTGCCAACTATTTGCAGCAAAAGTACAGTCAATAAGGAGAGAATCTTATTTCAATGTGCCAAAAATAAACATCCGGCCTAGAGCTTAGAAGTCTCACGTCCTCGCAGAAGTCGCCAGGAAAACAACTAACAGCAGCCACTATAATGCAGCTACAGATGCTTTTGAATTGTTAATGCTGGAAATACACCAAAGAAGCACTTTAATTTTCGATTTGGGTTAGAAAAAAGTTGTTCCGTTATAATAAACTACACTCCACTGGTATATTGATGCATAATGTAATATCATGTTATATTTTGCTTAAAAATCGTTAGCAAGGATAGCCAGCTTCTGTGCAATTAGCATTCTTAAAAAAATGTAAAGATTTTTTAAATTTAAAGTCATTTTGTGGTGTCTATGTTGAGATGAGAGAACAAATTAAACGCGTGGAGACTAGTGAATTAAGCATAATTGACAAGAGTTCTCTTCAAGAAATAAACAAAAGATGAAAAAAAAATCATTTTTTTTGCAGAATAATTATATTTAATTATATAAAAACTTTGTATTGTCAAGAGAGAGCTAGATGAAACTTCCAAAACTAAGTTTCCTGGAGCAAAACTAAATTTTCCTTGCTAAAAAGAAAACCTTTCTGTCATAAGACCTACTCCATCGCTTGAAATTAGACTGAAACTCAAAATTGTCGAACCGGTTTTCCTCGACGTTAGAGAATTTTTCGGAAATCACGACTGAAAGGGTTTTATGATAACAACTTGCTCGACCCATTCCGATGATTATTTGTGGTAAAAAAACTAAAACACACCCGAAGACAAAGTTTCTCCTGGTTTTCAATTCTTCTGATTTTCTCAACAGCCACTACCTTTTAGATGCTGTTTTCGAAACTCATTGTTTGTAGCAGCTATGGCTGACCTTATGTGCGGACATTTTGTGCTGTGCTAGTTTGGTGGTGTAGGCAGTGCCAGTGGATGATAGACTGCAGTGTCTGATCTGGCCATCTCTTGCACATGACACCACACTAGTGTCATTGCAGTGAGGTAGAAACTTCGCCTACATAACACAACCACAAGTGTAGCTCACAGAAATTTAATAAAAAATTAAGATACTTTCTCCTGGAAAAAAATCAACACGACCTATATAAGTACCTTCACTGCGTTCATTGACACTTAATCAACAATTAAGCATATGCGAATATTCAACCAAGTTACGAATTCATTCAGTTTGCATAAATGGTTGATAGTCAAGAAGATATTGATTAGCACGCCAACAACTTCTTTGATCCTATTTTGCGGGTTTTTTCTTCGAAGAAAAGCTATCGCGTTTGAATGAACAAAATTACATGAATACGACCAAAAAATTCTACCGTTTGAACTAAAAACTCCAAGAGAGACCTGGAAGACGTTGCTGTGGTGTCCGCTTTCGTACTTTGTCTTCTCCTTTTTTGTCAGCCAGTCCCACAAGATCACGTTGAGGTCATCGCCCGCACTCACCAACACAGTGCCAGATTCATTGAAATTCAAAGCATTTACGCAGCCCCTGTGACCATGCAGCGAGCACTCTTTATCCCATCTGCACAAAATCATCAGATATTAGTCAAAATCTAAACAACAAATAGTTGTTAACAAATAACTGACACAGAGGCGAAGCTGCACTTCACTAATAAAATAGCAAAAAACGGAAAACGAAAAACTAAAAGAGCACAAAAAGATTCAACCATTTGAAAAAAAATCAGACTTATTGAAACTTAGTGACTTCAGCCAGCAAATAATAACGACCTGGGATTCAAATTCGGATCTCTCGTGCAAAAGAAACGTTTCTTAATCATGACGTTCTCTACTTTCACGCACAAAGCGGATATAGCAAAAGTATGGTGATCAATAACTTTCCACCAGAATTCCTACTTTTAGAATTGTGTTGCAAACAAATTAAACCCATTGTAACACTATATTCTTGCTTCTGTAGACACCCGCGTGAAACAGAAAAAAAAACGACACAAGATCACGGTGAATCGCGTCCAAGATGTTCGCTGCAAAAAAAAATGGAAAAGGAACGATACAAAGGAGAATTAAAAAATTCAAAACAACAAACATTAGAAAATTCAAAAAAACTAAAGCATGAGTAACCTCTGAATGAAATGCTGGCTACGTTGCACCTCTCTTTGGTACTTCTCTGTCGACATTTCACCATGTCTTAATCGCTCCATGTGACTAAAGGAGCGCCAGTTTAGGACCGGAATGGGCTGTGTGATGTACGGGTTGGGCTCCTTGACCGTGGACATTTTGCGCTTCCGACGTCCCGTCAACCGACCCCGGATGAACCTCAGATCCTCGTCTCCCGATTCTTGGTTTCCATCCACTTGTTCTGTAGTTTGTGGTTGAGTGCTTTGTGTTTCATCGGCTGAAAAATTATTAACAAATCTTTAATTTTATTATTCCACTGAAAAGACAATGTCAGGTCAGTTTCTAGATTTTTATAAGTTGGCGATCCCATGCTAATATTTGAAAAATCTTTAGTGCAATATCCAATGTCATCCACTTTCAATATAACAACAACAAAATGCAACTTTTCACCACACAGACCCTCCGGCAATAAAACCCCACACAACTCCCTCCCCCCTCCCCCCCCCCCCAGGGGTTCGACCCCCTGTCGTCGACCCAAAGGGTCTCTCTTTGAAACTTTTTAAGAAATCTATTTTTGGCTGACCGACACTAAAATTTTTCTAAAGGCGCCTTGCGCCCAAATTTTCCAAAAGGCGCATTGCGCCCAAATTTTCCAAAAAGTGTCCAAAAACCATTTGTCAAATTACGGTCTGCTAGTGTTTTCTGGGGGCACTTGGAAACTCAATTTGGTCGATCTAAAAAAATCCTAAATTTTTCCCCCTCGAGAAAATCTTAAAATCTTATATCCGCCCCTGTTTCCCTTGATACGACCCAAAAATAAGACACTTCGGCGATAATAAAGAAATACGAAAAAAAGGTAAAGTTCAATTTAAAAATCCAGGAGAAAATCAAAACACAACAAGCATAATAAATAAAAACTCGCATAAAAAAACGGTTCTAAGATGTGGCAACTAATCCGACACAAACATAAGACAACCATGAGGCCAAAAATTTAATTTGAAACAAAGTATTTTCCGTTTTAAAAAAAAGGTCCTGGTCAGATTTGTTCTCAGGACCTTTGCCGTCCCAGGAATATTCGTTAACTACAGGCTAAGTGTGCCGGGAACACTAAGAAACTTGAATTCATAATAAACACGGTATATGAGTCATGTGAACAAAGTTATTTACGGGAAAAAGACTAGTACCCGACTGCAATAACCTTGCTCAGGATCAACCCTTTTTTCATGAAACTAAGCGAATTCGAGAGAAAACTAGATCAACAGGTAATTTTTCATTCCACTTGGAAATCTAAAAATCAAAATCCACTTTCGAAACTAGAAGTCGATTACGTTTTTCGTGATTTTTACGTTTTTTTTCTGCTCAATAGAGAAGTTTGGGAGTTTGCCTTCCTTTTAACACAGAGTCGGAGTTGCTTTTCGCACACACAAGCAAAAATATGACCGATAACGCTACTGTGAAAAACTGAATGATTAAAACTTTGAGTCTACAAAATTTCTTAATTGATGCACGCCAATTATGACGCATTACCAGTACCAGTCACTTTGAAAAAAAAAACCAAATAACATGCCTTTATAGAGCAGTCTATGGAGCAGTAATAATATGAAAAAACTAAATGTAATAAAAATGAAATGAATTTTTTTTTAATTTGAGATTTTTTGGGAAAATCACGCCATATTAAATACAAAGTGATAAATTTCGCTCTTAGTAACAAATCAATTATGGCAAATAAGCTTCCCTCAACCAATTTGAACCGATTTCTATGACGGACTAAATCTCCGCTTACGCGTTAATAGCGCGAAATATCTCGCGCGTTTCTTGTCCCAAATTGGCCAAAATGGCAATTTTTAAACCCCAAAAACTTTACAAAAAATGATCACAGGTGAAATATCTTTCCAAATTTAAGCTCAGTACAACAATACTTTTTGAATGCTAAAAAAGTCCCGTCAAAAATGGCTAGTTAAAAAGTCGAAATTTGCCTGAAGAAAAAAACCACCCGAGCACAAATATTCCGTTACTTTCGCTATGAAAGTCGGAACAATAATAGTCTGTTTTAAAATCCTTAGCAATGGCTGTACTTAATAGCTGGTTATTGATCAAAATGAACACTTTCAAAATGAACACATTTTATCGCAACAATATTTGCGAATTAGGTTGGAAAAAAGATAGTTCATACTATAACAAGCATTGTATGTGTAAACAAAGGAAATGAATGGAATTTAAGAAGAAATCGAGTCAAACCACAAAATTTCTAGGAAACTCGAAAAGCATTAGGATCACAATTAAAAAAATTGGAGTATTACCGGGAATTTTATCAAATTTTGATGAGTAAAGATCTGCAACTTCATTGACCATTAGCCCAAACACAATTGAATCAAGAATTAGAGAGGGCTCACACATAAGCTACTAAACTTTTACGGAGTACTACTATAGCTCCCCTGCTTAAAAAAGATATAAACTTCTTGGTTACTTTCTGGGCTGAGCTTTGTCTGTCAGTGATAATCCACTCTTATAAGAATAAAAATCAACAGACCATGTTTCAGCCCCATGTATAAAACCAGCAGGAAGGTCTAAAAAACCCTGAATCGAAATACTTTAGGCCTCCAATCCACAGACTGCCTTGATCGAATGGCATGGAAAAACGTGTTATCCTCCATTTAATTGCTTGAATGCTACTCAGAACGCCCTCATCTGAACCATTGCTTACGCGCTTTCCGGATTTCCAACCCCTCCACAATGGGAAACGGACAAAAAATGCATTAGTAGTAGTAGTAGTAAGAATAAAAATCACAAAATTCAGCGAATAGATAGAAACTTGATAGAAACAGGAGCTGTATCCTTACCATCATTTCCACTTCCTTCTGTAGATGTTGCACTATTAATAGTATTACTTGGCACATTCGTTGTCAAAGGCACTGTCCCAGTGTTATAGCTAGATTCCGCTGGCAACGTCTCCTCAGTCGCAGAAACCGAGACAGCAGTAGCATCGCTGGTCGACTCCTGTCTCCCATTAGTTTCTGTGGTGCTCCTGCGGGGAGCTTCCTCATTCACTCCAGCATCAATAGTTGCCTGTCTGACGTCATAAGTCTCCCCTTCTTCAGAAGAAGACCAATACCCAAGACGTCGGGATCCAGTAGGTAGTCTGTCCACATAAGGCCGAGTCCCAGTCAAGATAGAGGTGGGGGATGACGACCCGTCTGACCCATCGCTGCTGCTACTGCTGCTGTCGTTTATCCCAAAGTCACTCATCACACATACAACAAAGGAAGAAACAAGAGATAAAATTGTCCATTATCGTATATTTAACTTCAAGCTTTCAGTTTGATTTTCTACATTTCAACCTAGCTACCAATTTAATTTTCTGCGCTTTCCCAACACCCTATTTTATCCCCATTATTCTACTAACACAAGCTACTTGTATGACGGATCGGCCAATAACTGATGTCTCAAAATAGCATCAAAGTTCACATAAAGGGTCCGAAATTCGAGCATGCTCTAATAACCCCACTCTGAAAATGAAACCGGGGGAGTTGGTGCACGCAGAAAACTATCTGACCTGTCCTGTCATTCAGCTGTAAATGTCGTTCAATATTACTAATATGGTATTAAGTAAATATGGCTGAATACTAACTGCTGTCCGTTTCATCCCTGGCCAAGTCAGGCACTTTGTCACTAAACTCAACATCGCCTGTGGACTCCTCAGTTTCCTCCACTAAATTAGGTTCCACGTCTGTTCCCGTGTAGTACCTGGGGGAGGGAGCTCGACACATGGTTGTGTGCCATCTCTCGGTACAAACTGTCACTTCCTGCAACGTAGGGCCAGGGGTCACAGACCTAAACGACAATCAAGTTTGATCCGTCTTCACTTCAATTCAAATCTCAACTCTACTATGATCAATTCGAGCAATACAATTGCTATTCTTTTCAATTTTTTAACTATAAAATTAACAAAATACTTTCGAATTTAAAGCTTGATTGATTTCTTTGATCAATGCGAAAAAATGAATGCTTGGTTGCGGTCGGAAAAAGAACAAACAAGCATATAAGCTGCGATACATGAAAAGGATCTTACAATTAGTCCAAAATTTTCCATTGACATTGACTATTCTAGGCAATTTCGTGATGTAAATTTTATTTTATTGTTTATAACTTTACAGCCTATCAAAATTTCGATTTGATTCGGAAAGATATTACACTTTTTAATTTACACTACTTCCGATCAAAATTACGCTTTTCGATTTGATTCGGAAAGATATTGACTCCTTCGCACCTTTCGTCAAAACTCGGAGTCGGGCTTTCTGGGCTCTCGCGAGGTCTCTCACTGACGATATCAGCAGCCCCATTGGTAGCAGAGGTTCCATTTTCTTCACTTCGTCCATCAGCATCGTCACCTTGACCCGTATCAATATTTAATTCAACTGAAGTATGATTTTGTTCCACACTAGTGTCTGCTGAACTATTTTCTGAATCAGGTATTAGAACTGTAAGCACTTCTGCATTGATCTCAGGTTTAAGTTCTGGTTGCGAATCAGTAGCTGAATGAAATTCTGTAGATGTTGAAACACTTTTTTCGGCTGAACTCTCACTGTTTAGAGCTTCCGAGTCCAGCCTCTGTATCTTATGACGACTCAATTCATCAACGCGGTCGCAGTGGGAATTTCGAGATAAATTGGACGCATTCTCTGATATGTTTGAGCTTGAAGCCACCATTGTCGATTGTTCCACTACTTTTTGTTCTCCCTTTACAATTTGCGAAGAATCGGTTTTTTGATCCCTCGTGTCTTCGCTTTCATTTTCATCCATGATAATAATTTACTTAACACTTATCAGTTAAAACCTCGAAGAATCAGCTTTCGCTTTCATTTGAACCTAGCTTAATTTCTGATTGATATTTTTGACCATCAAATCTAGAAAAAACAACGAAATTGAAATTGCATACAGTCGAAGAAAAATATCATAGTTATTTGCTCGAAGATTGTACGTCTCAAAACTTACCGAAACATTTTTGGGAAAAATTGATATAAATTTACAGACAAGGATAATATAAGACAGTTTATCTACAAGGGAAGGACCAACGTACAAGCTGTTCAGCCATTCACGGCGAACCTATGTTGTGCCCCTGTTTAAGATCTACATACTGATCTTTACAGTTTGAAGAGGCGAAACGCAATCTGGTATCACACGTGACAGAAAAAGTCTAACTACAAACAGACAAATTTGATCAAACTGATGCGGTCGCAAACTTTAAGACCACCTTGCTCTCTGGGCAGTAAAAATGATTTTGTTGCAGAGCAGCAGTTTCAAAAGCAAGCTAGGGAATCAAAAATGATACGGAAATCACGTCGAAAAAAATGAATACAATTTTTCAAAATTAGAAAAATTGATTTCAGAAAACAGTCTAAAAACAGAACCACCAGGATTAATCAAGATTTTTATTACCGAGCGGTTTGTAAGCTGAAAACTTGCGCAGACAACAACTTGAGCAGTTTATTGAATTTCTTCAGGAATGTTAATCAGAAAAATCGATTTTTCATTTCAATTATTGGAGAACTGTATTAATTTAGACTCTTTTAATCCAGACAAACTGCATACTAGCTGCAAAGCCATCAGGAGAATTAAGGTTCACTAGACGACTTTACCACTCAATTGTTGTAAAAAAAATATACAGAGACGAAGCTAAATTTCGGTTATAACCCGATAAAAGACAACGAAGTCCCCAGCTAAAGCTGGACGTATGAATTTGATAATTTTTGAATGTTTTCCTGATGCGGGACAAAATAATTAATTTCAAAAAATTGAATTCGCCCAAAACTTTAGTTGTTTGACTAGTAAAATAAGTGATTAGAGTGATTTTAGGATTTTTTAAGAAATTTTAGGAATTTTTGCTAGGGTATAACATTTCTTTTACAAAAACTAAGGAGTCGCCGCTTCTGTAGGAAAAATTCTCGCAACCAGTTCCTTCAAACAGGAATTCTAGATAAACAGGTCAATAAGACGTTTGAATTTTAAATTAGCAACGGGACAAAATTTAAGATGATTTTTATTTAAAACTTTTAAAAGATTCAAGTCGTCCTCAAGCTACAATAAAGGCGATACCATTATGCTTGTTTACAGTGCAAAAGAAATCCGTGATGAGGCAACTACTCCGACGACACTTGAGCAGATAAATGAAAGTCCGACAAATCAATTTTTACCGGAATTTTTTTTTTTCAATTTTATACTTTATGAAAAAAAAACAAGTTCCAGCAGGAATTCGAACCCCAGACCTTAGGATGCAAAGGCAACGGTAATACAGCCAGAAAAACCAAGAGCGAAGAAACCCGAAAGTTCTTGAGATTCAATAATAAAGCAAGCTGAAAATTTGTAAGAAAAGTTGTTTACGGGGAAAAGTCTAGTTCCCCTTTACAAGACACCTGTTTTTGCAAGTGTGATTATTATGAAAGAATTTAAAAAAATGAAATTTAAACACTGATGCGAGCTGAGATTCACATAAAATTCGATACCACATATAAAAAACATGGCAACTGGATAAAAAAATACAACCAAAGCCACTGAAACAAGAGAACACAAACCTTAGAACAAAGAAAAAGTAATTGGCAAAAAAAGGAAATTAGAGTGGATCCAATAAAAAAAAACTGCAATTTGACATCAGACATGCCACCAATAACAGACATGCCATCAGTTGATTTTGTGAAATTAGTTGTTAACCCGAAAAAAAAGAAAGATTGAAAGCGCAATTAGTTGAATCACAGCTTTTCAAACACTTGCCGCAAAAAACTAATTTGCGAAACAAAATCTCAGAAAAATACATAATCTAACCACTCATACCATTTTTACTTAAAATTAGGTATAAAAACAGCAGTAAAAAAAGCTAAGTGAAAATAAAGAAACGATGCCCATTTATGTAAAATGAAACACGAGGCGAAGCACCACTTGCGATACAACAAAAAAATTGAAAAATGTCGAAAAAACTAGAACTATCACAATGAATAGGGCTAGGTTTGAAACAAAACCATACCGAAACAATTAAATTAGAGATTAGCATCGGAAGATAAATACCAAGCGGTAGCAAATACCTTGGCAAACCCTTTGAGCCGAAAAAAATCAACAAGATTTAAGACCTATAAAAAGTCCCCGTCGCCCTCAAAAATTTGAAAAACATTATTTGTTCTTCAAATGAAACGATATGAGACAACTAAGCCGATATAATATAGCCCGAAACCTAAGAATCCCAAAAAACGGTAATAAAAAACTGAAAAAAGTTAAGACTAATAAGAAGCTATTTAGCCTCCCTCGCCCTCAAAACACAGACGCGCACACACACGCACTTTTTTCGCTCGTCAAAGCACAATATGAGGCCGATAGATAGCCGATATAATATAGACCGAAACTTATCAAGCCGGAAAAAAAATGGATGAAAAAATGATTGTCATGAAAAAATTGAACTTTAATTTCTATAAAGATGTTTAGCATTTTGTTCAACCCACAGATGAGCATAAAATATGTTTCTATTGAAACAACTCCAAATTAGATCACTAAGCCGATAAATTATAGGCCGAAATCATTTGGGCAGAATAAAGTTTCAAATAAAAAAACAAAAGAAATGTATACGATGTCCAGGTTTAAAAAGTTACAGAGAAACAGCAGAGGTAAATTAGAACACTAAACGCAATTACATTGTCAAATGAGCTAAAACTAAAACAAGCAATTTAGTCGGATGATAAAAACAAAGCGAAAACTTAGCTGACAAAAAGTAAACCGAAAACGACGAAGTCGAAAACTCAAAAAATACCAAAGAAATATCATGTAAAAAAACTTGAACTGCGAATTTATTGGATTAACACTAATAACGATGCACAGTGAGTGTAATAGACCAATGATCGCAAATATACGACGCACATCCTGCATGCATATCGTATACTGCATGTATTGTATGGTAAAATCTGTGGACAAAGTTGTTTGCGGAAAAAAAGCCTGGTACCCGATTGCAATACACTTGTTATCACAAGGGTAAACAAAAAATCATAATTTTGGGAAACTTTCAGCCAGTAACAACTTCTCTTTAGAATCCCATTTGACACTCAGATTGCGAGACAAAAATCAGTCAATTCAAAATTGAAATAAAAGGAAAAAATAAAATTGAAAAAGAAAGCAAATGAATCGATTTACTGAATCAATTTACAAAGAAACTGCTCAAACCTAGTTGACACGAAGCTGCTTGAAACTATGTAAAAAAAACACTAGATAAAAAAATCAGAAATCATGCTGCCGATGAAAACTGAAGATGTAATTCAAAATTTTGGTATTTATCAACAAAAAAACTGTGAAAAGAAATAAAAAGCAATAATGTATGAGCTATATCTACGCTGCTCAAATTGAACAAAATAGTATACAAAACTTTAAAAATTTACTGAATTAAAACACCAGGCAAGTAAAACCAGAGAAATTGTGACGAAATCCATAAAACTGAAAACAAAAATAGTAATTCTTAAAAAATATTTTTACACAGTACCGCTATAATTTACACCCAATAAAACTGCAGTAAAAATACAATAGATAATAGAAATGGAGACTCTATGAACAATCAGATTTAAGGTGAAAAGAACATATGGAGAACTTTGTGCAAAATTTCTGTTTTCTTAGTCACAAGCGTTCATAGATTGCTGCTAACTCTGTAACGATGGTACATCTAAACATGGATCTCCAAAAAAACATTTTTTAAAAACTCGATAGACAATTAAACCAAAAATATATATATATATATATATCTTTTGGTTCAACACTTTTCATTTAAGTGGAGTTTTACAGAGAAAATATATCACCAAGAAGCTCCTTTACTTCCAAGAATCTTTTCTGATTGACACTTATTTATCAAAATCACTAAATTTGTACAAAAATCTACAGAAATGTTAGTTGTTTCGCCCCAGCTACCATTCTACACCGGTGTAAATAAGCTTGGCTTTGTTAGCATTATTTCATTGGTATTTCACTTGCTTTTTGAACTTCAGAAGTTTAACAGCGCCAACAAACAATTAAAATGTTGATCAATCCAAGGAAGCCAGAACCATGACTAATATTTCTATCATTCAACTTTTGATAGAATAATAGGACATTTCAGGAAACTGGATCATATGTTTTTTACTCCAGTGAGAATTAAGAAACTTAATTCCCTTTTTGAAACTAAAAATCAATCACAATTTTGCAACGTTTGCTCTTTTGTGATTTAAAAGCTATAAAATTGAAAGAAACTTAAAAAATGAAAAAGTGAAGCCGTTAAAATCAAGATTTACCCTTTTTTCTGAGCTAGGAACGAGTTGACAAAGTAATAGCAAGGTTTCACCGAACTGTAATAAAATTATTATTCAATTTTAAAAAGTCGAGCTGTAAAGCGCAATGTTAACAGAGGCGAAGCAGAGCTTCGCAGCACTTGCGATGGAAAAATGTATGTCTAGAAAAAAATTAAAAAATCAGATTAGAAAAATGTTTGAAAACTGAACAAGCTACCATTTGAAACTATTTATAAAAAGCACAAAATTTTTTTTTCATAAGACAATATAAAATTACCGAACAACTGTATATCATTTTGCAAAAAACTAAAACAAAAACGATTAAACAAAGAACACACCTCACTTGAAAATACTTAAAAGGTTTCTTGAAACAACTAAGTATTGTAAATGACAAACTTTAAACAACAATTTTAAAAAAATCAAAATCTAGAAATTTTTCTTGCTTAACGAACAAATTGCCGAAAAAACTCGAATCAAACAAAGATGTAGAAACAAGAAATAGACACTGCCATGAATAAACAAATGATTTTGGAATCCAAAAGCCGAAAACAAACGCCGATTTTCATTCCTACAAAAAGATACTCCGGTCAGACAAATACAATGGTCAAAAATACAAT